TTCCTGTCTCGATCGACGACGGGATCCACACGCATCTTCACTCGACACTCTCACAAGGTGAGTGCGCACGAACCCTGGATGTGTGTGTTTCTGTGAGCGCTTGTGGGGGGCTTTTCTGCTGACACATCAGCGCTGTTTGGACAAGTGTGTGTTTGCATGTGCACGTGCGGTTGTGTTTGCTTGTGCATGACGAGTGTGTGTTTGCATGTGCGCATGCGGTTGTGTTTGTTTTTGCTTGTGCGTGAGGAGTGTGTCTTTGCATGTTCGCGTGCGGTTGATTGTGTGTTGGAGTGTTTTTTTTTCGGGTTTTGCATATGTAGTGTCTCTACTTGAGGGGCATGTTTGTGTACGCGGCGTGTGTGCGCGTGTGTGTGCTTGTGTGTGTGCGTGTGTCTGTTTGTGTGTGTGTGTGTTGTTTCGCCGATTGAACGCGTGGAGGTTGTCACCAAGGTGTGCGGCCATGGTTGAATGAATTGTTTCGCATCCCGAGGGTACTCCTGCTGTATTCTGGCGTTGAGCGACATGCGTGCGTAATATCCGGCAATTCCGTACGCTCTAATGAAGAACTGTAATCTGTTGTCCATCTATCCATCCATTGTATCTTTGTCGCCGCGTGGTTCAACCAATCACACTTTGGGCAGGTCGAGGGCTATGACATTCAAACATCAAACAGGAACAATGGAGTGTGGTCAGTGGTCAGGATGTGATGAACTGATGAATGCCGATAGCTCCGATCGAACGCGCTGTGGCCAGTCACGAAACATAAACACCCCGCGCTCGATCGGATGTTTCTCCGTTCATCATTTTCATACACAACAAGAGCACACGAGATTCACACGTTTGTGTGTGGATCTCATGTGATCTTGTTGTGTATGAAACTAATGAATGGAGAAACATCCGATCGAGCGCGGGGTCATTATGTTTCGTGACCGACCACAGCCCGTTCGATCGGAGCTATCGTCATTCGTCAGTTCATCACATCCTGACCACTGACCACATTCCATTGTTCTTGTTTGCTGTCCCAACGCAGTAGCCGTCGATCTTCCCAAAATATGATTAAACAAAGCACGCGGCGACAGAGATACAATAGATGGGTAGATAGACAACATTCCTTGATTTGACAGTATTCATTATTGATTATAGACCGTCCAGAGCACAAGGTAGATAATATCCCTTGATTATATGCAGTCCGGATCGATGGAGCACGATCAGATCACTCTCGACATTGTCACCGCGTGTTTCGATCGGCCGCTAATCGGGCAGTTCTCATGAGCTGAGTAACTGATGCATGATGAAAGCTCCGATCGAGCGTGAGGCGACCGGTCACGAAACATAATAACCGCGCGGCAGATCGGATCTTTCTCCACTCATCAGATCAATCATCCACACGTGAGTGGTGACATCGGCCATACCGCACGTGAGTGATGAACAGGACCATCACGATTGATCACGATACTGCCGCTGATCTGCCGAATGGATGATCAATCAAAGCAGGAGGTGACATTGTCGGGACAGCAGACGCACCCAGTCGACCAATCGCCGAACATGAACAGAGAGCTCGCAATCGGTTATTGATCGCATGTGCTGTCTCAACGTTGTCACCGCGTATGTGTTTTTCACTAGTATCAAATGTAATAACAAAACACACGTGGCACCGTGCGCAAACGACCAACCTGGCGGCGAGCGACCGATCCATCACACTCGTTGATGTACCCCGAGCGAACAGTAGACTGGTCAATAGATCCACCACTACCAACATCACTGAACGACTGTTCGGACTGCGGTCGGACGACCGGTTGATCCAGCAGTCCACCAACCACACAGCCGAACGTGTGTTTGCTTTGCAACCGTGGCATCACCCTCTGCGCGATCGCCCAACCGGCAGGCGTACCACCGATCCAGCAAAATGGTTGATGGGAGAGCGTTGGCACAAGTAACTAATTAGTTGATTGATCGAGTTTTCGGTTTGTGGTTAGCCAATTAGCTGATTGATCGGCCGGTCGCCGACCAGAGCACCGACGTGCCAGCCGAGCGGTTCACTTTTCTCGCCCCGATTGCACTGCATTCGACCTGCGTCATCGTCCATTGGTCGTACGCAGCACGCAGGGCAATTGGTCCACCACACGGTAGAAACCTGTAAAAAAGGTCGATCCCTGTTCGAGAATGGACAAAAGACAGTTCGTGATGACGTTGTTGGACATCGAACGTTGCTGGCCATCGAACCTTGTCGGCCATCGAACCTTGTTTGGCATCGAACCTGGCGCCCCATTAAATCTCGGCGGGCATCGAACCTTGTCGGTCATCCAACGACGAACATTTTGCAGCCACCACACGACAGGGGGGGACCCGTGAAAATGTGAAGTCCGCCGGGATCCGAACTTCAAGAAAGCACGGGAAGGCGAGTTTGATAGACATCTGTGTCTCTCCCACGTAATTTCGCCAAGCTCGGATCCCGGTGGACCTCCGGTTCACGCCTTTCGCAAGACCCAACACGAGGTGCAACCCCAGCGGGCAACCACAGCGGTGGACCTGTGAAAATGTGAAATCCGCTGGAATCCGAACTTCAAGAAAGAGGGGAAGGCGAGTTTGATAGACAGTTGTTTCTCTCCCACCGCATTTCGTCAAGTACGGATCCCAGTGAACTTCAGGTTCTTGCCTTTCGTAAAACCCAACTCGAGTTGCCACCCCAGTGCACAACCACAGCAGTGGACCTGTGAAAATGTGAAGTCCGCTGGAATCCGGACTTCGAGAAAGAATGGAAAGGCGAGTTTGACAGACAGTTGTTTCTTTCCCACGGCATTTCGCCAAGTACAGATGGCGAACTTCAGGTTCGCGCCTTTCGTAAAACCCAACTCGAGTTGCAACCCCAGTGCACAACAACAGCATTGGACCTGTCAAAATGTGAAGTACGCCGGGATCCGAACTTCAAGAAAGAATGGAAAGGCGAGTTTGAAAGACAGCTGTTTCTCTCCCACGGCATTTCGCCAAGTACGGATCCCGACGAACTTCAGGTTTTTGCCTTTCGTAAAACCCAACTCGAGTTGCAACCCCAGTTCACAACCACAGCGGTGGACCTGTGAAAATGTGAAGTCCGCCGGAATCCGAACTTTAGGAAAGAATGGAAAGGCGAGTTTGATAGACAGCTGTGTCTCTCCCACGGCATTCCGTCAAGTTCGGATCCCAGCGAACTTCAGATTCTTGCGTTTCGTAAAACCCAACTCGCATTCTAACCCCAGTGCACAACCACAGCGAGGGACCTATGTCGTTTGATTGCTCGCCAACTATGTTTACGAGTGTCAGCATCCTCGTGTGTGTCGTTTGGTATTTGCGCGTGGTGTGTAGGGCGCGCAATAGAAGGGACCTTCTCGACACCACGAATCTTCGAGTCGATCTTCTCAACACCACAAACCATGAGTCCCCAAACACACATTCGCTTGGCAGAACCGTTTCCTCCTTGCGCGAGATCAGTGCGGCATTTCAAAGGTGTGACTACGATCCACGGAGCAACCGCAGAGGACTTCGAAGAGGACCCCTGGATGACCGTCGTCCCATGCAGGGACGCGCATATTGACGAATGGTGCGATGGGGATTGGGCCACGATGGAGAGTCGCTGCCCTTGGGCAAGCCAGTACAAATTCGCCAACATGTTGGATTTCGGGAACCTCATCCCGCTGTCTGACGCTGTCCTCGGACACAAGTTCCTGAACCACATGCGCAGAGCGCTGGGCTGCATTAGCCGCCATTTCAGCCGCCTCAATGCCACTACGTCAGCTCGTCGCCACGAACTTGGGGAGGCTCGCGGAAACAAGAGTTGCTGGACTGCGCTCGTCACTGCTCGTTCCTGGGCCAGTACCCACTCCGGTGCCCCGGGAATTCTCCACAAGTTGWGTCATACWGTTGTRTGCGATTGACTGWGTCCRGGTCTGATTTCGSCAGAGTTCTATGTGTCGCTGCGTCGAACAAGAGCAGGAAACTCGTCGATGCAGTTGTGCTTGTATCACGCAACGAGGTGGCAATCGAGGGGTCCAAATTCGTGCAGACGCCCGGGCCTGAACGTGTAGATGGGTGGCGAGATTTGGTTATAGCAGGGCCGGTCCAAAACTTTTCGTTGCTTAGGGAGGTCGAGGAGAAAATGTCCGCCATACGAGACTGTGTAGGGAACTCCTTAGCACGACCGGGAGTGTTTGTTAGGATGAAATACATGTCCGTCTTTTTGAAAACTGCAACGGTCGACGATCCGCTGGTCCGCGTTTACGGATCGTCAATGAATGCTTTGTATGGCTGCGGTTCGCGACCTCGTCCCCGAGGAACCGCGATTGTCAGAAGATCTGGACGTGTGGTTGGACATCCTGCTTAAGCGAAAAGAAGGGAGACGAGTGAGAGGCTTGTGTGCTGCCGAACATAGCAGAGTTTTAGCAGTGGAGAAAGGCGCGGGAGGCAGCAGTTGCTAGTGCACGCCGTCTCTTTCCATGTCGCACCCTCTTGAAGTTCGGATTCCGGCGAACTTCGCGGTTTGGCCTGTGCGTCCTACCGGCCTCCTAGCGTCGAGCGCAGAGCGGAGTCAGAAACGGTCTTGCTACCAATTACGCCTGGACTCGATGAATGCTGCCATCGAAACCTGCGGTCGGCTGTGGAACCCCGGGGTTTTTCCTCGTGCGCCTTTGGATGTTTCTCTCTGTCTCTCTTTCTCGCGTCCTCCTAAAGTTCGGATCCCGGCGAACTTCAGGAGTCGCCAGTCTATTGCCACAGACGGTGGTCTTCCGGATCCTTCATGGATTCCGGCAAGAGCCAAAGTCCGCCCTAATCCGAACTACTCCGATTTCCGATCTCGCTTTATGCACAGCTTGGCACTTGATGGACCCAAGCTCGAAAGCGACAGCCGTGTCAACATTTCGTAGGTCCCTGGACTCCTCCATTTCAACCAGCCTTTCATTCCGGTGTGGCCTTCCTGGGCCAGCTTTGAGTTTAACAACCTTAGACTTGTGGATCATGTGTCCGAGATGCCGTTTCTGCCTGTCGCATCGTTCTGAAGTTCGGATCCCGGCAAACTTCACGTTTCGGGAGGTGCGTTGCTTTGTCGTGAGTCTTCGTGGTTCCGGGTGGGTTGCACAACCCGCCCGATAACGGTTCCGGAGTGCGTTTGGTTGAGCATGGTTCTGGGACGCTGGCTGCATGGCTGCCTCTCTGTTCTGGTTTGGCTCCCGGCAAGCTTCTGCTGTTGGACTGTCCTGAACACTACCCCGTCGAGCGCGAGCTTCGAACATGACCGCCAGTTGATTCTTGCGAAAAATTCCCGAAATCTGCTTGCGCCGTCTCTATCTCACGCACCGTCCTTTCGTTCGGATCATGGCGGACTTCGCCATTTTCACTGTGCGTTTGTCTGTCTTTGATCTTCGGGGTGCCCCGTGTGCCGCATAAACAGCGCGTGATCCCATGCGCACTGCGAGTTTTCACTTGCTTCTCTCTCTCTGTCTGCCTCTCATGCTCTTGCCCGCTTGAAGTTCGGATCCCGGCGGACTACCCCTTCTCACCGTTCCGGATTTGGGTGTCCGGGTGTCTTCGTGTGCGGCTTTCACTGCGCTCCAGCCTGCGTTGACGTGCAGCAGCGAGTGTTCTGTTTCTCCTGTGTTTTGACAGACGTTGACTTCATGGTGTGCTGTTCGATCTGCGTTGTCGTTCACAGATTGTATGTCTTCTTCCAAGGGCGAGGTGGAGCCAACAGGGACCTCCGGGAAGGAATCACGAAAAGATTCCATGAGGCGGTCATCTACTGCCACGCAGGGGTGGTCGAACCATTCGAGGTCGAAATGGTTCATCGACTGGTGTTGTGGAGACGCTTCCAACCCCACTGCGCAGCCATGTGGTCCTGTCATCTTCATCGATGACAGCAGAAGGCGTAGAGTGCTTGGTGCCGTCTTGCGGTGGGAGGACGCAAAGGGGGGCCGACGACATTTCTATATGCAGAAAGTTTATGGTGCCAAGGGCAACGTCGTTGCCTATTCGAAAGGGACGTTGTTGGACCTCGAATTGTGTGAGGTGTTCGGAGCGGGTGCTGTGAACACCCCGTTCTACAGAGAACTTGTTCTCGGGGGCGGTTTTGTTTTGGCGGGTGAATTTTTCGACATGTTGGAGGACAAAAACATCGCTCTAGACGTCCCCTGCGACGTCAACCCATCCCTGGAGCTGTCGTTGCCGTTGAAGCTGTGCAGCGGTTGCGAGTCAAGCGGGGCAGGGGCGGAGGGCGGTGATCTGGGTTCTGCTCCCGCCACTCAGCTGCACCGTGGCGAGAGTCGAGGTCAGTTCGACGACAGCGAGGATGAGGGGACTGCTCCGCCGTTCAGTGACAAGCGGCGGTCAGTGTTGTCTATTCCTGGGGTTCAGACTGATGCTCCTGTTTAGTGGAAGAGTACGGGGCCTGCAGTACACGTGGCGGCCTATTCGGAGGTCGACTTGGAGGCGAGCGAGGGACAGGTTGTGGAGGAGGTGGACGCGGGAGGCCTGGGCTCGCAAGGAGCTCCGCAAAAGAGGAGGGTGGATCGTCCAGACGAGTTCGCCGGTTCTATGAAGAAGTTAAAGAGCAAGATCCCCAGGACTGCGGGGGAGAAACGCAAGGGGACCGAGGGGGAGCAGGGCCGGCAGGTTGCCAAACGACCGTCTTCGAGACAGAAGCAGCCTGAGTCTGGACCGTCTTCTCCACCGACAATAAGGACTCCCATCGACGTTGACGCCGGGTACTTCCTCGAGTACAAAGGCGGCATTCGGACAAAGCGGGAGTTCGACATTAGCCCTGCGCAGGTCGTCGACCTCGGGGACTGGGAGGACCTGTACAACCAGCGGTCCTTGGATCACGTGCTCGTGGAAGGGATCAAGGAAGCGATGCGGTTGGCGTTCGAAAACAAAGCGCAGTCTTACGATTTACCAACCCTGAAATTGGCGCCGCTGGGGCTTGATAAACCGACTCTGAGGACCAGGGAAAAACGTATGAGACCGGAGGATTGGAGGGATGAGCTGGCGGGACAATACTACTACTACGCGGTGTGTGGGCAGCACAACGCGGCTGCAGCGAGGTGGCCAGGAAATACAATTTCAAGCGGTGGCCTACACGAATGGTCCTTTTTCGGATGACGACTTCGAAGGGTACTTGCTTGTCAGTTCCCAGGACAACAAGAAGGACCTGAAGGCGCCCCCACGACAGCTGAAGCTGTCAATGAGGGATATTAGGTGGCAGTGGAAGCGCGCCGGTTGCCCGCGTGCTGTTATGGGGAACCCCATCGGAAAACAGGATCAGGTCCGGAAGTGGCGTGAATTCTGTAATGTCGCACTTAACATGACACCGCACAACAACTTGTGGATTCTCGCAGATCAGCAGGGCGAGGAGGCCATCAGGAAATAAGGCGCTGCCCTGCGTTCCTATTTCCCGCTGGCGATGGCGGGGGAGAACGTCTGGAAACTGGCCGTCGAGTTTTTCGAGAAATGGGAGACAGGCAGATTGCTCGGACACGACGGCGCAAAGTGGATCATGCGGAAGAAGAAAGTCAAAAATGTGAAGCCTGGGGTTGCATACATCCATAATGACAAGCTGGGAAGGAAGGAGGTCGTGTACAACGTCCCTGTGGAACCGCCGTCAAAGAAAGGCAAAAAGGAGAAAGCGGAGGGCGAGTGGTTCATGCAAGTGTCAGAGCCGGACGCGCATTGTTGGAAAACGATGGAGTCGCTGACAGACAACGAGAAGTGCCGCGTCCTGAAGAAGGTGCTTGCTTGCGAGGTGGTTTGGGTACAGGCCGGCTCCCCAGCGTTGGCGAAGCTCGGAAAGTTGAGCGTCCAGGAGGTGGTGAATTTGGTGAAGTGCGACCGAGTGCTGGTGCGTCTGTGGAACTACTACCAGTTCAAGCACGACAAAAGGCCGGACGCGGATTGGAGCCAGAGGTTCCCGTTCCTGAAATCAAGGTCCGCAATTTTCAGACAGTTTGAGAGTCGTGGTTTGGATGCTGAGTTGTGGGACGGGAGCACGAAATACGTCACTGACTCCTCGCTGTTCAAGGACTGCCCGCCCTACATGGGCTGCGACGACGACAGATAGATCGAGGCGATGGAGAAGCTGGCCGGTCACAAGAGTCCGTCGACTGGAGGAATAAGGTCCTGTCCGTGTTGACTGGCAGTAGACTGAAGAGTCGAGAGATCGCGCTCGCCGAAGGCATTGTGCACATAAAATGGAACGACACCCGCGACGTGACATCCATCGCGCCATTCGGCAACGACCCCTTGGAGGCAGACATAAGGAGTGCGGAGGTGAAGGAGGCAGTGGTTGCCACAAAGAGTCACACGTTCGTCCTCGATCTGTGCGAACCGGTGGACCTGAAGCTTTGGAAACCGCAAGTGTTCGACACTCTGAATTCCCAACTCCAGACCTGGTGTCCGTCGCATTGGACGCTCG